GCAGAAGGTGTGAGGTTTCTTTAAACATCTGGGTAGATTGCGATTTTTTCTCAACTTTTCTGAGTAATCTGTGTCCCTGCTACCTGAAGTAATGAGAGAGGTGAAAGCAGAGCTGTAGCTACCAGCAGGAAATAGCAAGTAAAGGGTGAGTAAAACATTTACTAATTGTGTTGAACAAAGAGGGGAGATGATACAACTTTCCTCAGGACACTCTTCTAGGAAAGCTCTTGTCTTGGTATCCCCTGTTTGTAATAGTTTTCTAATGGGTACAACAAGCTGCTACTGTCTCTTTTGTTATTAGGACTGTAAAGCAACTTTGTATTCCATTCTTTCTTTGTCCTCTAAAAGATCTGCTGCTGACTGCACACTTCTACGCTGTTGTTCTCAAGACCTTCCAGGGTCCTGTGGTCAGAGGCTAAGAAGCCAGGAGAGTATTCGTTATCTGTTTTCCCAGCTTCCATATGGAGTGACTTTGATGTGTTCTAGTGGTTGGGATGTTCATGTTCCTATTGATGCTTAATAATTTTTTGGGGTTTGGTCATTTTTGCAAAAATAATGAACCCCCTTAAACTGAATGGCTGTGGGCCTTGGCCTTCCATGTCAATAAACAGCTTTTGCAGCTGAGGGTTTTGATCAACCACAGAAAGCTATTACGGTTATAGTCTCATGCCCTACGTATTATATGGAACAAGAGAACCATGTCAAACACTGAGATTTACCAAAATCCACAGATTTTATTTGTTAAAAAAAAAGTCTTAGATGTGTTCTTAGCAATTTGCTGAATAGGGATATCTCCCAGTTTAGTAATCTCTTTCCTTTCTTCAACTCTTTACTCTGGGCTGAGGTTTTATGGAAAACAATTTCTGTTTCACAGAGGTATTCCCTTTTCTGTAGCTTTCTCCCCATCTATCTTTTTTATCTTTTTTTTTTTTTTTCCCTGGCAAGTTTATAACCTTTACAACTGTTCTTCATCCTCTCCTCTGTTCCTTGTCCCCATGAGGAACATTCTGGAATCTGCTGATCTCTGTCTCTAAGAAACATTCTGTAGTTTAATTACACAGATTCCTTGGTTGTAGCCTTTTTCACATTTTCAAGGAGCTGGTGACTTAGATGCTGTAACACATGCGAGGCAGCATTTGGTTTTAATTCTGGCTAACTTCTGTGTATATTTGTACAAAATACATAGTTTTTACTGCATTTTATAATCTTTACTTAATCAGTTTGGGTTCATCCATTTTTCCCTTGTAAAGTTTGGTGATACTAGGAAATTTAATCAGAAAATAATCTCAGAGGATTAAAGTATTCTAGCAAACATGCCCAACTTTGGGCTGGCAGGGGGAGAAGGAAAAGCTTCTGCTAACATTTGTCTGGCCTCTGGAAGCTGAGAGGTAACATATTCTTATCGGTTCACTTTGTGACCAAAGGCCAGGGTCATCTCAAAGAGCCTGCCCAGAAGACCAGGAGAAGTGTGTTGAGGATGCAGATGGGAACCAAAGGTATCATCAGCTTTCAAATGCAGAACGCAAACTTTAGGAAAACTTATTCTTACCTGTCTGGGAGTAATGTTTTGAAGATAAAACAGGAACAAGACTGTTGAAATGTAGATTCTTCTATAGGGACTATCCTGCAGCAAATCTGGCATTAGAATAAGAATTATCTTTCTTAGTGCAGAATAGTGAACTTTCAATAGTGGAAAAAAGTACTTATGCTAGAAACTGTAATATAGTTGAAAAAAGGCAAAAGGAATTAATGGTTTTATGTCTTGTTTTTTGATGAAGTCTTGCTTCTGAGGTGGTGTTTCTTTGAAAGTTCTTGCCATGCACATTACTGCAGAGATGATTAGGTTGGATTGATGATCTTGCAAGCACTTGTACATCAGTATCAGAAATGCAGTTATTTTGCACATGAACACATTTGTTTTAGCTGGTATCTGCTATTGTTAATATTTGTGCCTTATTTTTCTTTACTATTTTGTATAAGTGCTATTGATACCAACTTCAAAAATACAAAAGCAAAATCCTGTAAAGACAAAAATTTGTGAAATAAAAAAATATTTAAAGCTGATACTTCCTAAGAAACATTCTTATAAAAGCTGTAGATAAGTTTGTAAATGTTCTTTATTCTTGTTTCTTTTATACCGTTGAATAATTACCTCTGAATTACTGTTGTAACTCTCATTCTTTCTCCTGGATGCTGCCCAGTGTCCTGATGTGCCCTCTCCTTCCTGCGTTTTCAGCCTCTGCAGGTTTGACAACATGGGACTAAAAAGAGGGAGTTTGCCTGGAGCACAACTCTGTCATGGTTCTGGTTGAGCTGGTGTTAACACCACTGTAACTACTCCTTCCTATCAGTCTTATGCCCCTTTCCTTTTGAATAATCAAACAGAAAATTGGGTGGTTAAGCTAATATAAAACCCGAAAATCCTTTTTGACTGTTCTGGGCTAACAGGGAGGCCTTCTCTTTTTGGGTTTCTTTTTCTTTGCTTGCTTCCTTGCTTGTTTCTTTGTTTCTTTCCAGATGGTCTTGTGTCCTGTTTCCTTTCTAGGAAAGCCTTCAGTTGTATTCCTACCTACTTCTTGTCTTTGTCAATCGAGGGTAGCTGATCCTTGCTCTGGAGCCTTGGGCTTTATGGTTGTGGGAACCATAGATCCTTCTAGCCAGCTTTGCCAGTTAGGGAGGCCAAGCTGCATTTCCTAGGCCTTAAAGACTTCTTGGCTATTTGCTACATTTCCATGTGGTCTGAAAGTTGGACCTGTGAGAGCCAAGAGTTGCACTTGATGATCCTTCTAAGTCCTTTCCAACTCAGTCTATTCTGTGATGCTAATTGTTGGAAGTAGATAAGTAGATCTAATTACTCCAAGGTGTAAATCAGCTGAGAAGCAATTCTTTGCATGTATTTGAGCTAGTTTTCTGTTTTGACCTGGTCATTCTCTGTGTGGTTAGGTGGGTAATAGTGCTGATGTGATGGGAATGAGTGAGGGAAATGAGGGACTGGTAAAACTTCGATTTTGGTGACAGATAGCAACCCACTTGCATAACTGTATCCATATTCATAGGTCATTCTACCTGCTCTAAGCACCAATACAACCAAGTTAAGTTTAAAAAAGAAAGGGTGGGGGGAAGTTTAGGCTATAATTTGCACCAGTGGTACTCATGACAGTTCAGTCTTCTTGTCCAAGAGTCATACAATTCCATCTTATAGGTCATTTTGGAGTAAAATAGTGAACTGGAACGAGGAATTTATCTAGCTGAAAAATTCCCTGACAAGAAATTTATTTACCTTTGACCCAAATTAACTTCCCCCTTCGTTCACCACGGGTCTGCCGAGCCCGTCTGTGTGGGCAGTGGGAAAAGAGCATCATGGGGATGGGGAGAGGGCAGGAAGGCTGCAGTGCCAGCTTGCTTTGAGTGAAGTGAGTGGAGCTGAGACACGTCGCTTGGTGGTGCCATTTCCTGCCATGTCATTCAACTGAACTGATTTGTCCTTTTTAAAACATATGTTTAAAGTTTTTTGACAGTTTTGCATTGTCTGTAACAAATGCTCAACACGACAATTACACTGATATTCTGCAGAAAGTTAAAATGAAAGATATTTGTAGTTGTTTTATCTCATGAAAATCAGAACATAGAGGCAAATATTAAGTCATGAGCTATTTGTTTTCAGTATTTTTGTTGTATTTACTGAATAGACTTTTTTTTTTTCTGCTGTAGAAATTTTAAGAAAGATATTTTTCTTGAAGAGAAGTGTTAAGTCTTTCATTCAGATTCTGTATTTTGCTCATTATAATCCTCTGTTTTGTTACCGGATTCCACTAGTAATATCACGTATGCAATACTGTGTAATCTCATAATGGAATCTCTTAGCATTAGTAGACTTTAAAAGATGATGACTTAAGGATGGCTAGTGTCCTCTGTTGTTTTTTTATGTAGAGTAGCCAAAAATGCTCTGAAAAGTGGTGTTTGAAAGCTGTAGGGAACTTAAGATCTGCTTCTTTCCTTAGTTTCAATACATTGCACTTTTTTTTTCATTTCATCTTTTTCTTTTTAATAAGCAATTTTAAAATGAAATGCTTGTCACTCAAAATAACTGTATCTGACAGTATGGTTTTCCTAATATGGGCATCCCAGCTAATGCTATTCTGAAATGTAATATAAAAATCAAAGGAAGAATAAATACTGTGTTTGAAGATGAAAACCAGGTATTTGGTATAACTGTGCTGAACTATACAATGTTCTGAACGAATGTCCTTAAAGGTTTTTTACCTCAGAAGCTGAGAAGTAAAAGACTGTGCTTGATAAATTCTCATTGCTTTGTTTTGAAGAAAGTGGGTTTGGAAATGCAGTATTTTTTTTAAATGATCTGTCTTGTTTATTCAAAATCACTAGCTGTGTTCAAGAGTACTGAGTTCTGGAGGTAACTGAAAGCAAACTGCAACTGTACGTTTAAGTACAGAATTCAGGCAGCAGCATTTGTTCTGTTACATTGGATTTCTCAATGAAAAATCTCCTAGATCCCTCATTGAAAAGACTTACTTTTGTTCTCAAGAACTGATGTCTTCCACATAGCAATAAAAATTTTAGGTTGTGCCAGTGAGTAAAAAAGTACATACAGATAATGTGCATAGAAAAATACTAGTATCCTGAAATAAAAGCAATTAACCCTTGTGCTGTCTGTATGCAGATTTTCTATTCAGTAAGGCAGAAATTAAAATGTGCTGCCAGAATTTTTTCCTTTATTTTTGTTCATTGTGTACATTAAGCAGAATAGAAATATTCAGGATAGTGCTTATATTTGTATCTGAGCAAATTTAAATTTTGGACTTTCCATCCTCTTGATCTCTGTGGTCCTTTCATGGTACTTTCTGCTGCTGTTTATGGCAGTTTTAGTGTACTAGTGTATTTATATAAACAATACTGTGTTATTTCTTTAGATTGACTTTGTCTGATGTATAGATATTGCAAATCTTTTTTTCAAAATTATCTTTTTTTCGCTCTTGCAGAAAATTCTAAGCTGAGACATGTAGAAAAAGATGTTTTGATTCCACAAATAATGAGGGATCGAGCCAAGGAGCTGTGCTCAGATAAGGTGCAAGGTAAGAGTCAAATATTCATTAGGAGATCAGATGTATTCTGATATCAGATGTATATTTGTGCCGTGAATATAATCCTCGGTTTTGAAGTCATGTAGTCAGAGAATTAGTATGTGTGATCTGCATCTTATCTGTTCACTATGAAACCAGTACTGAAGCATATAAATCTGCTGTGTTGGCTTTGGCTGTGTGGTGACGTGGACTGTTTTCCAAAATGACTTGTTCTCGAGTGCTATGGAATTCAGTATGATTAATACAAAACTTTGCACATTTCAGTCTTCACTGTGTGGTGACAGAGCCACACAAGGGTTATTGCATTCCTATATCTAATATTTGATACTTACATAAACAGAATTGCCTCACGTGAGCCTTCAGTTAGGACTTCTCTCATGATAAATTTGTTTAAATATTCCCAGTATTCCGTGCTACATCCTTTCCCTGCCTCAGCATTTAAATGATACGTGCACATAAACACAAGTGTTATTAGACAGACATTGAAATAGGGTGATGCAGTCTACTTCTGTTTTAATTTTCTTTTGAAGACCACTGAACAATAACTCTTTTAAGTAGTATCACCACTTCTTCTGACACCCAAGTCATCTAGATCGGTGCTTTCTAAACTTACTTGATCGGGCACCCCATCAGTAAAAAATTTCTGAGTGCACAATCCCAATATATTTATAAATTACGTAAATGAACCACTGTACTAGTATGTTAATGTGCACTATAAAACATGAATATGGAAATTTAAAAAGGAAGAGATAAAGATGAAATAAACAGTACTTTAAAATAATTTTTATGCTATTTACCAATGGTACAAAAACATTTTTGCTCTGAAAAGTTTACTATTAATAACAGTATTTTTTATTGAGATCTATATAACTTAACATGCTTCATAATCTTAATTTAACACTGTGATAGAGGAATTTGAAGGTCTGGTTCTAAGTTCAGTTTATTTCAATACTTGATTTTAATGGGTGTCATACCTGAAGAAGATACCTCACAAAGATGGATAGGTCCTAGTAGAAGAAGTACATTGTTGCTTGCACTTATTACAGTAAAGCCATTTTTTCAATTCCATTCACAAGTTTTGCAAAGGTTTTGCTTAAAATTGGACTACTAAGTGACCATCTCCCCTGATGTCCATCAGTTGTTCTTCAAAAGCTAATTGGAAGGTGTTGCATTTTTGACACGTTAGAAAAATTCTGTTTCTATCCTTTTAAAGTGTATAGATGGAAGAGATTTTTGTAGGTGACACATTCACATTGTGTTCAGCAATAAAACCAACCCAAAAGTTGCATAATGAGAGGAACATATCTGAACACTTGTTTTCAAAGTGCTCACTCCAAAGCACAAGTTTCTTTTGCAAAGGAGTTACTTTATCACTCATTGTTAAAACATCACCTTGAGGGGACACACCGAGTGTTTAGTTTTTGGAAATCCCTTCTAGGTAGCAAACCACTCACACCACTTGTCATCACCAAAAAGGTCAGTAAATTTGGAACACTTGTCTTTTTGTAAAAGAAAAATGTGTCAGGTTTGACAGCTCCCTCAAGCGTGTTACCACAAGATACCCAGCAAACCTCTGCATAGTGCCAGAGATTTTCATGGCCCCTCCCCATGCTGTGGCAAAGCTGCTACAAAGTCTGGTAATCATACTACTGTTTGAAGGACTTGTTTTTATAAAGTTACCACATCAGTGTCATCCTGTAGCTCTTTGTGTACTGCTGACTTCAACTGCCTTGCTGCAATAGTTCACCTGTGAGTGGTGTAGTGAAGTAATTTCACATGTCTCTGTAGCCTTAGTCTGGAATCCCTTTTTTATTCCAGTCAAAGCAGCCGCTCCATCAGTGGATACATTTGCACAGTTTTTCCCTAAAGAAACCATTTGCGGTTGAGAATAGATCTTCTCCAGATCTTACTTCAACAGCTCACAAAAACGGTCCCTGCGCATTTCATTATTGACATGCAAATACCTCAAGCTGAGAAAGTTAGAAATTTCAATACTGTGCTTTCATCCAACTGTATAGCAAACCTCTCACACTATGTAACTTGTTCTAGTGCTTGTTTCTTCAAATCTCCAGCATTGTCTTCTATGCATCTTCCAACAGTATTTACTCACAAAGGAGTGCATTTTAGTTTGTTGCCACGTTTTTTTCCCTGTGTTATTTCAGTGATTTTTACCGAAAATCACTGAGAAAGAAACTGAGAAAATCACTGAGAAAATCACTTACCGAAAATCACTGAGAAAGAACAATGGTTTCCCCAATGGGATGTGGCTTTTTGTGTTTCACTATTACCTAAGAAGCTTCAAAGGAGGCATCTAGACATTTATCACTAGCTTTAAAGTCAGGTCTAGTTAAAATGGCCAAGTGTATTTTTAAGCAGATGCTTTTAGGGTTTCTTCAAAAGATAAAAAAGAGTAGTCTTACAGTAATTTTGACACTGAGTAAACAGGAAAAGAGTTGGGAATATCTGCCAGACGAAAGTAGCATCACATGACAAGTACCTTTCAGTGGTGCCAGAAGGACTTAATAGACGTTTTTTCATTTGAACAATAGTTGAATCATTTTTACTTTGAACTCTTTACCTGTTGGGGGAAAGAAATGAAGATGAAAAGCAATTGCAATGATGTGGGTCATTGAAAGAAGATGTCAGTTAAAAATATTCTGAGAGCTTGCTGTTTGTGTAATATTGTTTGAGGGTAAACCAAAGGGAGATTGTGTATGTGTTTTTCTCCCCTAAACTTTCTCTGTGTAAGGTGAGGACTTTGGTTTCAGCATCTTCATTTTCTGTGGCAGCAACCAGTATTGGAGATTCTTGAGCTATGAGTTGTACACTGTTACCTTGCAGCTTCTCCGTCGTTTTGCCTCCATAAATTTTAAAGCCAAATTGTTATGGTTTTTCTCTTTCTGTGATGTTAGGCAAAACTATAATTTCTTTCTCCTATATAGAATTCAGTTGTGTTTCTTTAGGAAAATGAGGTTTGTGGATGCATCTGTCTTCCCTTCATTCCTCTGTCACCTGCAAGCCAGCTTTGATCAATTTGTATGGCTGTTAGAAGTGGAAACTGAGTATTTCTGAAAAAAAAAATTTTGATCAAACAGACAAGCAAAAATCCACATTGATACCCTTATTAAAAAATAAAAAGGGGGTAGCATAAGTTCAGCTATTTCGTTGTACACCTTTGTATCTGGATGGAGGGGAGAGACCAAAGCACAGGAAATGAAGCTTAAGCCGTTTTGTGAACTGGAGGTTTATCATCTCTTAAATCTATTGTGAAATTATTCCTGGAATAAATTTTTCTTGTTAATACACAGGGATAGGTGTTAATCAGAGTAAATAGGCTATGCTTTTTATGCTGTAAACAATTATAAGCCGTGTAATTAAGTAATCAAAGCTTCTGCGACTTGGTTTGTGTGCTGTAGGGTGTACACACATGCATGAAATGGAGCTGTTTACACCAAGTGGCAAAGCTACTCCTTTAACTTGCTCTCAGCGTAGGATTTTTCTGCTTTACATTAATTTTGTTTGAGAAACTCCTATTAATAACGTTTCATTTTGCCTTTTGGAAATTGTGGTAAATGCATCGGTAATATAGGAAATAAAGCAATTCCACAAGTGTGGGCCTTTACAATTGGCTGGATCACGCTGGGTTCACATGTGTCCCTATGGGGAGCCCCCATACATTCAATAGTGCTCTGCGTGAGCGCGGGGGTCCATCTGTATCCAGCCCGTTACCTTAGCCTGCAGCTATACCACCTAGAGCTGTGTGCTTATCAGAGGTAATAATGCAAGTAATGACAGCCTGTCCAGCACGTGTTCCGGAGCTGTCCAGGGAAAAGAAACCCCAAGGGTTACAAAAATTAAAAAAAAAAGAAAAAAAAAAAAGGTTTTGTTAACTCAAAAAGTGGTCCTGCCATCCTAGTGCACGGTTGACCCGTTGCTATGCTTGGTTGTTAGCCTACTGGAGTGGTTTAAGGATGAAATAACCATGAGAACATGTCCATCTGATCATTTTTAAGAACAATTCAGTATTGTGTCTGGTCATATTTTACTTAGATTATACTTTGATTAATTTTATTTAGATTATTTAAATTTACTTAGAAGTTTTTTCAGATTGTTCCAGTAGTTCCTGTGTGTGCTGCATGTTTCTTAAGAATTTTGTACCTCTCTGTCTCAAAATAATATTTGTGTGTTTTAAGACTTTAAAGCACTTTTTCAGTGAAAATGGATATATTAGTAATTTTATTAAATTGGTTAGACAATGCTTTCTGGGAAACATTAGTCACTTTTAAAGGACCATTATGTAAATCGCTTTATTATTGCTTTATTATATCCATGTTTGTGTCCATGCATTGTATATGTGTGAAATCATGGGCTGCTATATGAGTTACAAAAGACAAAACCCAAGCAAACAAAAAAAAACAACAACATTGCCATACATGGTCTTTTCACTGTATTTTTTACAAACTGTAGCATGAGTTTGCCAGAAATATTATTATGTCCATGTATTTCTGTATCAACATGTCCTTTGCATTTCAAACCTACGTAATTTAAAGGAACATTTATTAGCCATTGCCTTGTCCATTGCTTTTATAAAATAATTTCTTAAGCGTTTTTCCTGTGGAATTATCAAGTTTTTGGCTTTGATTTCCAGTTGTATAAATTTAGATATGAGTAAAAGCAAAATCATAGCAAGATTCAGGAACCTGGAGTTAGCACTTTTCACTGGAACAGTTCTCTTTAGTATATCAAAACTTCTGTATTTTCATCTAGCTGTGCTTTGCTTTCCATTACTCCTCTCTGCTGTCAAACAAGGGACAGTCACAAAAAAACCTGCAAGAGCTTTGACTGATCTTGATCACATCTACAGAAAAGTTTGTCCAGTTTCCTGAGAGCAGTTACTCTGCTGTTCCAAGTTACGAGTTCTGAAACTGCAGTTGGTGGGTTTAGGTGGAGAAGAACTGTTGGGAACAGAAATATACAAACTTGAAGGACTG